ACATTAAATGCCCCTTTCTAAGGTCTAATCCACCTGGCGTCCGCATTGCCATTAATAGCCCAACCATCCCCGTTCCCGGCCGTCGTTGAATTCGATTCTGTTACAAGCCCATTTTCGACAATTCAGTTCAGTGCCCCTTGACGTTATCCATACATCTCTAATTATGTCGCTAATCTTCGTCTAATTATTCACTTGGCCCCACTCACCTAATATTATTAAAGTAAGTGCTGAAACAACATGACTCTAGTCTCCTTCCATTCCTTCTTTTTCATTTTTGTTTCTTTGGGAGCTGATTTATCATTTACTACTATATATAAAGCCACCGTTTCTTGATTTGTATTCTAGCGTTTACATTTGCCTCTGCGTCCTCTTGCAAGCTCATGTGATCTCTTATTGGATTGGACTGGATTCCGATGTGTGTGGCCGGGGGCCGGTGATCTTCTGCCCGAGAATCCTGACGTTATATCTATTTCTTGATCGAAATTCAGTATGAGCAGCGTGCATAACAGTGTGGAGACCGTAAATGCCGCTGCAACTGCCATAGTTACTGCTGAGAGTAGAGTTCAACCGCCAACTGTCCAGGTATGCCTCTTTATCGATGCTATATGACGTTATACGTTTGTATATCACCATAGTTTTGATCTTTTTTTTTTTATAAATCTGATAGAAATAAGCTACTCGTCTTGTAGCTGATGTGGTGGCATATCTTATTTGAATCCATTTTTTTGGGTCCATTTCTTTCTTGATTGTGCTGTGTTACTTAAGTCAGACTGATGAGGGGTCATGTCTTGGACGGGGTGCTTGTGCTTTTGGGTATGGAGTTGTAGGTGGGATGCGGATTGAGGATTCTAGTAAGTTAGATTTGAATCTTTTTTGATTTGGAACGTGTTATTTGTCTGCGAGCAAATTATGACCCAGAGATGAAGATGAAATGAATAATAGAAGTTGTTCTAGTTGGTATACTAGAATTATACAAAAGCCAGTCATGCAGTGGCTCCAGAGAGAGAAAAATCCACTAAAACTGGGAAAGAAAGACTAGACTGGAGGACTTACTTCTAGCCTTCTTGCTATGCAGAAACTATATCCATCTTTCATCTTGTCCTCATTAGTATGCATCAGTAGTCTTAGGCCTGAATTAGTTGAGGCCTTTCGTGTATGTCAGGCCTTTCGTGTATGTCAGGCAAGTGCAGGGCAGGCAAAAAGCGTTCTATCTCTCCGCTATTGTAAAGAGTTTGCAAATTTTCAAGATTGTGAATCATTTGGGGCCTTGGTGACTCTAGGGATATGTTATTCAGCAAACTTGAAAGCAGGAAATTGTATTTCAAAGTATGTATTTAGCTGTGCAGTTTGAAAATGAACAAACTCTTCAACTGTACACACAAAACCTGAAAGTTTGTATCATTTGTTTTCGCCCTTCTTTCTACTTAATATATTATTCTTGTTTCGGAAAGAATTTTCCAGTAAGTGCTTTAGCACTATGTTCTTTACTTTTCATGTATGACAAGAGAACATGGCAGCTGCTGTTGCACCTATAAAATGTTTGGTTCAGTTTGTCTTCTGATCTGACTGATATAGTGCATAAACGTTTGAAGGAACCCAAACCAAGCTAAGATTATTTTTTGTCTGTGAATACTTTACATGTCCCGTAGGGTGCTTGAAAGCAATTCAGGATGTTAATGTTGCTTTGATAATCAGGAGTGAAGCTTGCTATCGAGGCTTATTCTTTTCTTCTTTGGTGAAATTGCACTGAAGCTCTTGGAAATCCAGTTGATTTGTCAAAATGTGGCACAGAACATTGCAAAATTATTAGGCTTCTTGATAGCATTTGCATGCTTTTCTAACTGGCTTCCTTGTTTGATTTATTGGATAAATCACTGTTCCAGAGCCAGCAAGATAAGATTGCCTTCAAAACTTGGATACACAGCAATCATGTGACTGAGAAGATCCACTCTCAATTTAGAATTTAAACCTGAAAATTCAGGGTTTTTAAAAACCTGCTCGATTGCTGGTTCATCAGTGGCTAGAAAACATGAAAATCACCCAATAAATTCATGCAGTAGAGTTGCTGCAGTTTTATTGTGCTTCAGATCACCTGTTCATATCTGAAACAGTGTTGCTTGAGAATTTGTTTTTAGTAAGCTAGCCCAGCAGTGCCTTGTTTATGCAGGCTAATTGGTGGCCCAAGATTTGCTGTCTCAGTTGATTTATAGTTCTGAATTTTAATCTTCTCGTGCTTGTTGTGGATACTACTTAGAAGAGGTGTTTGAAATGCTGATTTGTTCTTCTTGTAGCTGACAACTACTAGAAAATTTCAGACTGGAAACAATCATTCTGTCTGATTCCCAGAATCCTGATGTATCTTTGGTGAATGATTCAGAGTTCTGCAAAGTGAATTAGTAACTTGATTCTGTAATTTACATTCCTTTCCTTTCTATTTGAATTCAGAAAAGAAGATGGGGAAGCTGCTGGAGCTTTTATTGGTGCTTTGGTTCTGTCAAAAACAGCAAACGCATTGGTAATGCTGTCCTTGCACCTGAACCTACAGTTCCAGGATCAGCTGTTCCTGTACCTGATAATTTGAACCATTCAGCAACCATAGTAATACCCTTCATTGCCCCTCCCTCTTCTCCTGCATCTTTTCTCCAATCAGATCCTCCCTCTGCCACCCAGTCACCTGCAAAATTTCTGCCCCTTGCTTCCTTTTCGGTCAACACATATTCCCCTAATGGGGCAGCCTCCATATTTGCAATTGGCCCATATGCGCATGAGACTCAGTTAGTATCACCACCAGTATTTTCTGCATTTACAACTGAACCATCTACTGCCTCTTTTACACCCCCTCCTGAGCCTGTGCAACTTACAACACCATCATCACCAGAAGTGCCATTTGCTCAGCTTCTTGTTTCATCTTTGACACACAACCGAAGACATAGTGGGACGAGTATCAAGTTCCCGTTGTCTCAGTACGAGTTTCAGCCTTATCAATGCCCCGGAAGCCCTGGCAGCCACCTTATATCACCGGGCTCAGCAATTTCCAATTCTGGCACTTCTTCACCTTTCCCTGAAAAACGCCCTATCATCGAGTTCCGAATTGGGGAAGCTCCCAAGTTTCTTGGCTATGAACACTTCACACGCAAGTGGGGTTCAAGGGTTGGTTCTGGATCTTTGACACCAAATGGTTGGGGTTCCAGGCTAGGTTCAGGAAGTTTGACGCCAAATGGTGGGATATCAAGGCTAGGTTCTGGAACCTTAACACCAAATGGTGGAGAACCTGCCGCTAGAGATATTTACCTTTTAGAGAACCAAATTTCTGAGGTGGCATCACTTGCTAACTCGGATAATGGAACTCACAATGAGGAAGGCCTAATGGATCACAGGGTTTCCTTTGAATTGACTGCTGAGCATGTTCCAAATTGTGTGGAGGAAGAGATGGTCATGCAACATGACACTATATGTGAACCTTCAACTGAGAAAGCAATTGAAGCTTCCATTGACATTGATCCGATACCGAAGAAAGGTCAAAAATTTTGTGAAGATTGCACTGGGGACAGTATCCACAATATCACCAGGAAAGCTTTAGATGGACAAGAAGGGAAGCAGTGCCTTAAAAATAATCGTACTTTCTCACTTGGTTCAAGCAAAGATTTCAATTTTGACAACATGAAGCAAGAAAGCCCGGATAAGTCCACCATCGATTGTGAGTGGTGGACAAATGAAACAGCAGCTGCTAAAGAACTAGGTTCCAAGAACAAGTGGACTTTCTTCCCAATGCTCCAGCCTGGTGTCAGCTAATGCTGGCATATACAACAATACATAAGATTCATTTCATCTGAATGCAAGACTGACTTCACTCAGCAACACTTCCAACAATGCTGGTGTATACTTGAGAGCATTTTCGAAGTGGGACATTTGATGAGCCTGTGTTTTGATTATAGGAATGGACTGCACAGCTGTGCCTCAGAGAGTGAAAAGCAATAGATATACTGGCAAGGACGAAAAATGGTTTGTGGTGATTAGTGAGCATTATCTTAAATTCTATTCCGTTCAATGTTGTTTTTTGCAATTTGTACACTGTAAATTAGTTGGATCCATCAATCAATGCACTAAATTCTTTTTTCACTTCTATCAATAAGGATATGTTCGTTCCCGGTCTTCATCTTCTCCCATAGTATGCAGTTGTGCTCTTTTCTGTTCTTGGACCTGAATTTAGATTTTCCATATGAAAGGACTTTTTCGCATGTCCAATTGTGTGGAAATTTGGAGTCCTAATTGTGTACTAGTTCTGACTCAACATGGGCATGGCTTAAATACCCAGGTACATTCATGATCTCTGCTGATATATATGGTTCAGCCTCGCATGAAATGAGGAATTTGAGGGCTCATTCAGGGTCCTCCAGCTACAGAAATTCAAGGATTGACTGGAGATTACTTGCTGGAGTTTGTGAGGTGATGCCTGGAACTGTAAGAATTGTCAGCACTGAGATTCCAGCTCATGTATAATCAACCCTCGACGCAAAGGTTCAAAATCCATAATAATTCAAGATGTGGTAGGCTCAGGCCATCAGACGGTGACAAGTGGTATATAAAGCTGTCATCAACTGAAAGCTTGAAGAAACCATTTTTTTTTTTTTAATTTGTACACTACAATCAGCCCCTTGCTGATATTATATTTCATTTTCTTAGTTTGCTTTAGGGATCATAATTAACAAAATTTCTGATACATGATTATTATCCAATATTATAAACAGGATTGACTCTTCATTGCAGATATATAATAGAGTTCGTGCAAATGATAACATTACTTGACTACGTGAAACTTGCTTCTTGGGGTCATATATAAGCAATAATTATCTGTAAGCAAAGCTATCTTGAAAATGATAGTTTGTCATCTATTACAAGAATATTATAACACCAAAAACATTGCTTGCAGAAAAAAAAAAAATCACGGGTCGTTTACTAATGGGATTTGTTTCTCCCAAATTCTTGGATTGAACCTGCAAAAGAAATGGTTTCAAAGAAATACTGCAACTGTAAAAGTAAATATTAGCTCCAGCAACAATTTGCATACAATTATTGCAAGAAATGATTCTGCAGTACCTACGAGTAGTAAAAGTAAGTTTGACAGAAAATTTGAGAAAATAAAAAGGAAAGAAGAACGTGGTGGTGATTAGTGATGCTGATTAAGCATGTGGGCATGACTTGTCCCTGCTGATTTACCTCCAGCGATGCAACGCTTAAATTTATGTTTGAGAAAGAGGCTGAATCTACCCGATCCAATAGCCACCAATAAACTCTAAGCTGATACTAGAAAGCAACATGGAGAAAGAAAGATGCTGATACGACCTTTTCTATCCAGACTTCTGGGGCTCTATTCAATTTCAGGTCAGTTCCATTTTTGGGTTTGCCAAATGCCAACTGAATTCTGCCTTTTCTTTAATTCTAGAACACGGGACATGATTCTGAGCGAGCTTCTCTGATTTTTCTGTTTTATTCAAAGCTATGTTTGACTTGTTATCTTGGTTGAAGAATTTATCTTGCTTGCTTCTGTTGGGAGCTTTTTAAATGGGAAATATTTTCTGTTGAAATGGTTGTTTTTTATAGACTGCACTCTTATGACTTCCATTGATCGAGTAATTATAGCTTTCCTGTTTAAAAGCGATTGTCTTTCTAATGATTTTACCATTGGATCATTGTCCAGTGCCGCTAGCTTGAGTGGCTAATGTGGTCTAATGTTTTACAGACGACTGCATTTTTTTTTCCTGGGGAAACTGTGCTGGACTAGAAAGGCTGCTCTACTTGTCATGCCCCCAAAAATCAGGAACTTAATTATGTGGTGAAGGATTTTGTCTAATACCTACTAAGTTGTGAAGCATGGCTATGGCTGCTACAGTTAAAGTGGTTCTTGGCTCCGTTGCCTTCGCTATTTTTTGGGTTCTGGCGGTTTTCCCGGCTGTTCCCTTTCTTCCTATTGGTAGGACTGCAGGGTCTCTTCTTGGGGCTATGCTTATGGTCATCTTCCGAGTTATAACTCCCGATCAAGCCTATGCTGCTATTGATCTTCCAATTCTTGGTCTTCTATTTGGTACAATGGTAGTCAGCGTCTATCTTGAAAGAGCAGACATGTTTAAGTACTTGGGCAAGTTGCTTTCATGGAAAAGTATGGGAGCCAAGGACTTACTCTGTCGAATCTGTTTGATATCTGCAATTTCAAGTGCCCTTTTCACTAATGACACATCTTGTGTGGTTTTAACCGAATTTGTACTGAAAATTGCAAGACAACACAATCTTCCACCTCATCCATTTCTGTTAGCCCTAGCCTCCAGTGCAAATATTGGCTCTTCAGCAACTCCAATTGGGAATCCTCAAAACTTAGTTATAGCAGTCCAGAGTGGAATTCAGTTTGGGGATTTTGTAATTGGAATACTCCCTGCAATGCTTGTGGGAGTTGTTTTAAATGCTGTAATCCTTCTTTGTATGTATTGGAGATTGTTGTCGGTCGACAAGGACGCAGAAGACCCTGCATTGGAGGTGGTTGCCGAAGAAGATGTGAGTTCCCACCGTTTTTCGCCAGCAACTATGTCACATCCTACGTCCTTGAATTCTCAGGAATGGAACTCGACATTGGAATCAATGAACATTAGTAGCTCACCTAATATCAATGGTCATAGGAATCATATTGAGACCCTTAGAAGCAGGGCAAATGCAAGTGAGAGCGAAATCCAAAAAGCCCCAAGTGAGGAGTCTAATCCTGCAGGGAACTCAAGTCCTCCAAAAGAGCTTGAAATTGAAACATTTGCACATACAAGGGAGGAAACTGTCCCTTCAAAATGGGTGCCACCCCTGAATGGATTTCAAAATGGGGACTACAGCACAACCAGTGAAGGGAAGGAGAAATGGAAAAGAGTACTGTGGAAGACTTGTGTTTATCTCGTTACATTTGGAATGCTAATATCTTTGTTACTGGGTCTGAACATGTCATGGACAGCAATAACAGCAGCACTTGCTCTCGTGGTTCTTGATTTTAAGGATGCCAGGCCGTGCTTAGAAAAGGTAATATTTGCTAGAGGTGTCATAGGGAAAGTAGTAAATGGCATTAGCTTGACTACAATGGGTTGTTAATACGTATTCTTTATTATCCAGGTATCATACTCGCTCTTGATATTCTTTTGTGGAATGTTTATCACAGTAGATGGGTTTAACAAAACAGGAATCCCCAGCGCACTGTGGGATCTTATAGAGCCGCATGCTCAGATTAATCACACTGGTGGAATAGCAGTTCTTGCTCTTGTGATACTTATGCTGTCAAATTTGGCTTCAAATGTGCCAACAGGTATATATATTTTGTTTTTCTCCTGATATCTACTCTTTCTTTCAAATGTTAACTGGATGTTTATGACGTGATCGGATAAAGTATATTTTTACAATTTCATCATTAGACTGGGAAAATTTATTTTTACTGAAGTGAACAATCTTGTTTTCCTGGTATGATACCCAATCTGGTTGTCCCAGATATCATGACAGATTATTCATAGCTTACTTCCCCATCTCTCTCTTTGGGGCTTGGGGAGGATGCAAATTGTTATTCTTCCTTCTGTCTACACCAGCTGGAGCAGTAATTGGACCATTTATTTGAGTTTGACTGCTATATATGTCATATGTTATGTTGGTCTCAGTTCTGCTGCTTGGGGGACGCGTGGCGGCTTCAGCTGCTGCAATATCTTCTGCTGAGGAGAAGAAAGCATGGCTCCTTCTAGCTTGGGTAAGCACTGTAGCAGGAAATCTGTCCCTCTTAGGATCGGCTGCCAACCTGATTGTCTGTGAGCAGGCTCGTCGTGCCCATCATTTCGGCTACAACCTCTCATTTTGGAGTCACCTCAAGTTTGGATTTCCATCCACTATTGTCATCACAGCTATTGGTTTGACACTGATCAGGGGATGATACCCTATAATCACTGTGATAACCTGACCTGTGTTGTAAATTTGGAGTCGTTAAATAAAAGAGGCGTGGAAGAGCCCCATGTCTCGCACAGTTTGTCTGGGGAGTCAGGTATAAATTGTATAGAGCATTTTGCATTTGTTTTGTCAGATACTCTTCAGGTAGTACCACACGAAATTAGAGATAAGAAGCAGATTAGAAGGCCAAGGATGTGTCTTGCTAGTCGTTTGTCTGGTCCAAATGATTTGTTATCACCCTCGACTTAAACGTGAAATCCTCTAATTAATCTACTTTTATTTGGAATCAGCATTTTCTTCCATACCGAAGCAAGGTATTCTTCCATTCCTGCAAAACTGAATTAGCCATGCTTCTTGTTTTAGCTTAAACGGTGACTTATTTCAGCAAGTTTATGCCATTCCTACGCGAATGCTTTTGTCCTCAAAAAGCTTGAATAAAGATTGGTTACCTCGATCGAGATAATCACCATCCACAAAAAGAAGAGCTTGAACTTCCTCCGAGATGCTGCAATGTGACACAAGACAGACGGTAAAGCATGAAAGGGGACTGGCTACCTTATGCTCCATTTCTGTTACTTTTTAAGTAGTACCGTATATACACAAATTTAGGTCTTGTATCTCTTTATTAGGCATCAGACCATAGTCCAGAAAATTTTGCAGCAGAGAACTGTACTTAATTAGGAATTAAGGGATTGATTAACCACATACTACTGCCTACCTTTAGTATTTGCCACCCCTTTACTGCTTTTCTCTCGTGTCCTTTCTTTTCTCAGTCTTACTTGTACTGGGAAAGTGGAAAACGCGAATTTCTGTAATACCCCTTTTAGTGGTTTTGCAGGTGGCAAGACAACGGAAATACAAGAGTTTAGACTGAAGGTACCCCTTTTTCTTTTTCAAGATCCTACTTCAAGTTACTGCTGCATTCGTAATTGCACAGAAAAAAATCTTAAGCTTGCTGGAATTATGTGCGAGGTGAACTAGAAAGTTTACTAAAAAGCTTATTAGTTGCAGCTCCATGAAAATTTGCCAACTTAGCCCGATTACAGACTTTAAAAGGGGTGTATTCTATTGCCGTTTGCTACCATCCAAAGAGCCATCAGCCCTGTTGGCGTACTTGCTTATGCAGGGAATCGAGTCCAAAGAGGCAAACACGGTTAAGACACATACAGATAGCTAGCAGCTATTCAGCAAGTAGTATTATGTTTTCAGCAGATAATAAAATGTCAGCTTCCCTCGATGAAAACATGCCACGTTTTTCGTGAAAGTCTTGGTTGTGGTGGGAAGCTTCTCTCAACATCAAGCAATGAGGAGATTAAAGTGGCAATGGGAATTGGGAATTAGGCATAAAGACATGCCAACCAAAGCATGTTTGGGGGCCTATGCAGTGGTGGGGAAAAAATGTTGGGAGGCTTCCAAAAGGTCTTTGTTTCTCTGTAGATTCATACATTCCCCCTGGTACGCTTTGGCCACATTTCCCATCCGCCAAAGCTGTACCATCATCTTTTGGTTGATGTTGACTGACGATTATACCCCGCTCTTAATATGATAATTAGTAGATAATAGTTGTCCTTTTTTTTTTTTCCTTCCCTCTAAATCTTAGGAGTTACAACAATCTTGTAGTATTCAAGAAGAGTCTCTCAACTTCGTGCCTTATTGCCCTCTGTCCTCTTACCTAACTCTGGCACTTCTAGTCTAGGCAAAAGATAGAAGTTTTACTTGCCTTGATCTCTAAATCTCAACTTCTTGTTCAATCACAGTTTAGAGTTCACAAAATTATCTTGATCTCCATATCTCAACTTCTTGTACCGTCATGATTGAGAATTTTATAAAAATACGGGTTAAAAACAAAAAAGTCTCATGTGATATATCTAATACACAGAAAAGTCCTCCGCGATTTAAAAAACATATAAAATGACACCTCATATTTTGAACTAAATTGTAAACTAACAGAATTCGTTAAATTTAACGAAAATGACGGTCTCGCCTGTTAAACTTATTAAATTCTGTTAAGTTTACCGTTAAATTTACCGGATTTCGTTAAATTTTCCGTTAAGTTTACCGAATTCTATTAATTTATAATTTAATTCAAAATATGAGGTATCGTTTTGTATGTTTTGAAATTACGAGAGACATTTCTATATATATTAGGTATATCACATGAGACTTTTTTTATTTTTAACCCTAAAAATACACAAGTAAAACTCGGTATCTCGTGGATTATGCCCCTAATGCTGCTTAATTTCTCCGATTCCACGCGCTATCAAAAACATCAATAGCTGTACCGATCAAAAGTAAAGAGGTACTAGTACTAGAATATATAATTTCAACGGTTGCTGTCTTGTTCCCGATGATTGAGATTTACTGGAACAGAAATCAGAAGAATATGGCGGAGTCAATAATGGGGCGGGGGCCCCATACAGCAGCGACATCCCCAACCGCCCCTTCCCCGGCCAGTAGTGGTGGCTGATCTCTAAAGCTCAAAAGCTAGAGAGCCATTTGCAATTTGCTAAAAGCATTTTGATTAATCAGTAATAACATTTATTAATTAATATATTGTTGGCACTAGAGGCTGTCTCATTATCATATCATTAACCGTAATAAATAAAGTGCTGCTATCATCTCTCGCTCCGTACCGCATTTTTTCACTGGGAGAATCTGAAGAAGAAAATAAAAAGAATCTTCTCCCGTCATCTGCTGCGTATACAAGCACGAACGTGTATGTACGTATCATAAAGCTAATACTAGTAAAGCTTTACGAGAATGTTTGATAGTGAAATTCTTTGTATGAAAATATTTTTGTTGCATCTTAAATACGTTTTGTAATGATTTTTTTATTTTTCAATTATCACGCTACAAAAGTAGTACAGGTACAATTATTATTTTATTTTTTAAATAATATTCTATTCAAACAATCACATCAAAGCTTTTTTGTGCCATTTGAGTTTATTGCACAATTTCATCATTGAAAAAAAAAAGCAATTTCTTGAAACATTTCGACCTCCTATTCTATTTAAGGCCTCGCTTGAATAGTGAATTTTTATAAATAAAATTTAAAATATTCTCTCGACGTATTTTTAACGATCTTTTTAACTCACGTCCATCCATTATTTCATTACAGTATAAAATTCAAAGAAAAGCACAAAATCCTTCTTAGAGGCCAATCCCCGCGTATTGTTAGGTACAAGTACAGCTTGTACAATCGAATTGTGGCCTATGAAAATCAACAAATATGGGAATCTGTCGATTAGTTCGTACTGCTAAGATGAGACAAAAAAGAGTATCAAATTAATCATCGTCCAGTTCAAGATTTTCCATTTACTTTGGCAGCTTTGCTGGGACAAATTAAAGGGAATTGGCAAATTCAGAGATGCCCTGAATATTTGATGATGTCATTGTACTACTGGACGAAACTAAGAACAATAATACAACAATTGCTTCTACCCTTTGGGCAATCAACAATTATGGTTTCTCCCAGTGAGCTCTTTTTAAAAGTTGCACTTGCGGGCGTGCCTCTTTAAGGTTAAATCCAACAAAAACGTACTATCTCTTGTACACCTGACAAGAAAAAAACGAAAAATTCAAAGAGATAGGAGTACAATCTGCATTGGTGATTGGCGATTTAAATAGATTAAATCTTTTATACATACGCAGCATATGGAATATATATTCAAATTTGTTAATGTATACACTGACAGTATGAAAAAAAATTGACCTAATTTGGATTGCATTTGTTGTAAAAAAATTGTAGATTCTCGTAAGAAAATTTTTTCTAACATTTTTCAATCAAATATTTTTTTCACCTTACATGCATCACATTCGGAAAAAAAAGTACTACAATAACTTTTCTTCAAAATCCCTCGAAAAATACAATCCAAACAGGTTCTTAATCATTAAAAATATGTTAATACCATCACTACGTTATTTGTCGATTTTTTTTTAAAAGAAAAACACCCCGTAGTTAGCGCTGTTAAATGAATTGAGTTGTTCACTAACTCGACTAGTTTTAGAATTATTCGTGGTTGATAACGACTCTTTCAAAATTTTATATGAGTCGGATTTGAACAAAACATTTTGGTTCGACAAATAATTGAACGAGCATGGACTTAATTGTCATTTCACAAAATTTAAGATTTGTATTATATTCTTGCTACTGTTCCTTAATTCTTAATATTATAGATAGGCAAAACAGATTATATCAATTTTGTAAAAGAGAGAGAGAGAGTTTGGATTCAAATGTATCGAGACTGTTCACAAACGGTTTGTTTATATTAAATGAGTCGAGTTTGAACCGGAGTTCGAATTCAAACTAGAATTTTATTTAAAGAACAGAATACGAACACAAATTTAGAACTCGAATATTATTGAACAAACAAACACGAGAACCTTTTTCGAGTAAATTAACGAAAAGAATTCAATCATAAGATGTTCGACTCGTTTACAGATGTACCCATAATCATTATCCATGATATTCACCAACACAAAAGACGGACTCCTTCCCTTATTGCTAATTCTTCTTTACGGCTTGCTGGAGAGAACCAAAGAGAAGGGGAAGGCACACCGTTGCAAAAATTATTAAAGGAATAAACAATTCTCTGTAATCATTTTTTTACTTTTTCCATTTATACTACTGATAGATTTTATACATGTCTTTATGAATATATTCTTGAGCCTGCCTTTTTATCAGCGCAAGTGCCCAACAGCCCAAGCCAAGCTTTTCGGTTGAGTCCTAATCTAACTACTCGTAATAAATCAGTAGATTGTCCGTTACTCGTTACCCGTTACGTTGTTTTGGGCTGCTACCAATCATGTTAACTTTCACCTGTCATCGGTCATCAAGGAGAAGACAGACGCTAAATTTGGCAGTGGAATAATGTAAAGACCGCAGGTCACTTTCGTTCACTCAGTTGCTTTCTCGCATCTACCCAATCCGTCTTTATCCGGTTAACATCCTGATTATTTCTTATGCAAGTCTATAAAAGGGAACATGCAATACTTTTTCAACTCTTATTCAACATAGCTAGTCTCCAAAAAAAATAAAAAACTAGATTAATACTGAACAATATATACAAATATATACATATTCTAAAATTAACCTTTTTTCTCCTCATCTCTCCCCCATAATTTTTTTTTTTTGGGGTTAATTCCATTTGCAGTGAAATAACTTTTTTATTTTGCAATTTATAATCTAGAAATAAAGTATTGGATAAAACGTGTGGAACCCTCTAAATCATTCATTTTCTTTTTGGGGATTTGTATTTAATTTATTTTCTATTGAAATCTTAAAAGCCATACCCGTAACATTGTTTGGAAAGCCAGTTTTCACCCAAAAAAATTTATACGTTTCCGTCAACACATTTTTCAATTACATTTTTACTTCACATATATCAAATAACTATAGTACATTTTCTACCAAAATTTCAGAAACTTGCAATCCAAATAAATAAATTTCATGGAGAAATTTTGAGACACACGTATTACAAAAAAAAAAAAAAGGAGTCACAATATAGACTGAACAAATTAAAGATAGAAATGAAAGGAAATTAAAGTAGTAGTAAGTATATTTAATTAATGCGGGCTTAGACAGAGAGAGAGAGGGAGAGAGTAATTTTGCTTTTTGATTATTAAATCTATAATTATTTTTGAATAGTAAATGCTAAAAATAAAATCCATCCATCCATCCCGACCGTCACTCAAAACAACTTCTCATACTAGCTGTTACTGCTGAGTGCTGCCTCCCCAAAGTCCCCAGTCCCATACACACGCAGACACACACACTTAATACTACTACTACTACTACTACTACTCCTACTGGGTGAGTAAGCAAGCAGCAGTAGCAGTAGCAGTAGATGTTGTTGCAACTTAGAAGTCGACTATTTTTTTAGAACTTTTTTATTTTATTTTTAAATTTGTATCTTTCTCCATTTCTTCTCACGCGATCTCCTCAAAGCCTCCCAAATTTGGATTCCTTTTGAATCAAACACATTCTTCACTCTCTAACACCCACACTCTCACGCAGTTCATGTATGCATATCTACGCCATTATCATCTGCGAATTAGGGTTCTTTTTTTCTTTTAACCTTTTTAGCAAGTTTTCGCAGTAGATTCGAAATTAAATCTCGGTAAGCCCCAGTCTGCTCAAGCTATGTGAGAGCGTACAACTTGGAGGTGAGTTTTTTATTATTATTATTATTATTATTATATTTTTGCTAATATTTTATCTCTTAACTTCAGTGGTATGATGCTTCACTGTTAATTTGTTTTTTCATTAATGATTTCGTAATGTATGGGTTAGATCTGTAATAAATTGCTTGATTTTGTGATGTCGAACTTAAAGCCGCTTGCCTAATTCATCAGGAAAAAGATCAGTGTAGCAGGATCATTTGGTTAGTTGTCTTCTCTTTTTTCTTTTTTTTTTTTCCTTTTTCTTGAGCGGAAAATTCCGAGAGAGATACCACCAAGAGTACAAGATGAAATTTCCGGAGAAAATTAAAAAGCTTCACGGATAAATAGTGAAGTATCATAACTTTCAATGAAGCTGGAATTTTGGTTACGTGTTCAATTTTGTTTTGGCTCAGAATGCCTATATTGTTCAATTAGTTTTGATGAAAAGGGCAAATATGAGGCAGAAGTGTGAAAATGTGCTGGGTATATGAGTAGTTCTTGAGCCAAGAAGAGGAGAGTGAAACACTTCGAGATCCTGTTTTCCAGCCTCTAAAATACTCTCAGGAAATTCTTCATTACTTTAGTTTTCTTCATTCTGGATTTACGTAGGCCTTTCTGATTTTTCTTGAAGCTTTGGAAAGGCTTGTTCCACATTCATTTTTGGGTTGACTTGGAAGAAAACTTGTTCTCAGGTCCCCCTAAAAGGAGAAAGACTTCCATTAGAGTCAAGTGGGCAGATGCATTCACGACTGATCCTGCACTAATCCTGAAGCATTGACTTTGCATGCCAAGTGAACAGCTAAACAGGTTGATAATTTTAGATGTTGGGACGATCATTCTGATTATGTTGCTTAGAACTTGTAGACAGTCAGCTACATCTACCGTGCTGGCTAGTTGATCTGTGGTTTAAATTTTAAGCATCTTGTTCCATGTGAAATAGAAAGGCAGGAAAATCATGAAAACCTTATTTAGCCAAAGAACTATAATGCTTTTCGTGAATCATACCAATTTGAAACTGCTAGTTGTTTCTTATAAGGGAGTTGGTTATTAATGAATCTATTGTGTATATTTGCTTTGGTTCTTAATGATTTTGTGGCTATTTAGCATCAGAAAATATGCCTTCATGGTGGGGGAAGTCATCATCAAAAGAAGCAAAGAAAAAACCAGCAAGAGAAAGCATTATTGACACATTACACCGGAAGCTTAAGTTTCCATCTGAAAGTAAATCTACTGGTAGATCAGGAGGGTCTAGAAGACGGAGCAGTGACACATTTTCTGAAAAAGGGTCTCAGTCCAGAGCGGAATCAAGGTCACCATCACCTTCAAAGCATGTATCAAGATGCCAGAGTTTTGCCGAAAGGCCTCAAGCCCAACCACTTCCCCTACCAGGTCTGCGACCTGCAAGTGTACTGCGCACTGAGTCAGGAATCAGTTCTTCAGGAAAGCCAAAAGTGGAAAAGAGCTCCAAGCCATCATCATTTCTTCCACTTCCAAGGCCTGCCTGCATACGGCATATAACAGATTCTGCAGAGTTAGATGGAGAACTGGTCATTGCTTCTATTTCTAGTGAATGCTCCATTGAGAGTGATGATCAAACAGACTCACGCCAGCGTAGTCCTCTGGAATCTGACTATGAGCTTGGAAGCAGAACTGCCACTGGCAGCCCCTCAAGGTATGGTGTCACATTAAGTCTTTAGGTTAAATTTTGTCCATTGTTGGCACTAATAATCTCTATTCATTAGCTTGTTTAAATTTTGTTTATCCCTGACTTACAAAATTTTTTTACCCCATTTTGAAGCATGATTATTAAGGATCAGTCTCCAGTAGCACAGAAAAGCCCAAGAGGATCACCTGGAGCAGTTGATCTTTTGACTCATAAAAGTGTGTTGTCTTCACCGCCTAAAAGAAGACCTCTTAATAGTCATGTCCCCAATCTGCACGTTCCCTGTCATGGTGCCTTTTGCAGTGCTCCAGATAGTTCAATGTCAAGTCCTTCTAGAAGTCCAATGAGAGCTTTCGGTAATGACCAAGTTACAGGTTCTGGATTCTGGCTTGGAAAGCCCTATCCAGACCTTCCGTTACTTGGATCTGGCCACTGTTCGAGTCCGGGCTCAGGTCAGAATTCTGGACATAATTCAATGGGAGGTGATATGTCTGGGCAACTATTTTGGCAGCCTAGTAGGGGCAGCCCTGAGTACTCTCCAATTCCTAGTCCCAGAAAGACAAGTCCTGGTCCTAGTTCCAGAATTCATAGTGGAGCCGTCACCCCAATTCATCCAAGAGCTGGAGGGGGAGCACATGAATCACAGACAAACAGGAGCGATGATGGGAAACAACAAAGTCACCGTTTGCCACTTCCTCCTGTGACAATTTCCAACTCTTCACCTTTTTCTCATTCAAATTCAGCTGCAACATCTCCCTCAGTACCACGTAGTCCAGGCCGAGCAGAAAATCTTGCAAGCCCTGGCTCACGCTGGAAAAAAGGAAAGTTGTTGGGGAGAGGCACTTTTGGACATGTTTATGTTGGTTTTAACAGGTAAAGAGATCAATTCTTTCTCTTTTTTTTCTCAGTTGCACTTGTTCTTATGTGGCGCAATGGGTGAATATTTGCTGTTGTTTCATTTAAAGTTCTGACTACTAACAGGGCGTTTGGTTTAAGGGTATGGGAATCAAGGATTCGAATCAAGTCCTTTGTTAGTGTTTGGATTATAGGTATCGGATTCAAGATTTTGGAATGAATGCTAAGAAAATGGCGACTCTCAATTCCTGACCAAATTGGGGGGTTTTGTGAAATCCCACGTCTGATTCCAAAGCTAATAAATAATAATATTTTTTATTTCATCTCACGCACTGCTTCACCATCTCTCTTCTATTTTCATCGCATTCTCTGTTTTGCTTCCTTCCCCATATCAGACCCCCCAATCCCTTCCCTCTATCCCACTTATTCCAATCTTCTAATTTCTCTCCTACCGGTGTAGCAGGCCTCTTTTTTCCAATCTTCCATAGCTGACGACGGCTCCTGAAATGTTAAGAGTAATTTTTGTTGGCCAAAGAATCTCATCTTGATTGGTTTTTCAAATTAAGACAAAATTGTTCTCTTTTCTAGTTATAATCTCCATATAACAGTTGTTGTTCATTTTTTTTTAGGGGTTGTATGGCTGCAATAGAGGAGGAGTTAAGGTGGTGGAGTGAGGGGCTGCAAAAACCCACTCTCTCTCTCTCTCTCTCTTTTAAGTTGTTTAGAAACTAGATCTAATGATCTTCAAGTTACAAGTGGGGTTTACAAAAACAGATTTTCTGATCTTGAAGTCCAAGAAAAATACCAGTTGATCCATCAATGGTCACTATGAAGTTCTGCAATTCGGTTAAGAAGGATGCTCTGCAATTCGATTAAGAACAAAAAGGAGAGAACAAAAGAAATTTAAAAGAAAAGAAATTAAAAAATGATAAAATATTCAAATTTTAATGTAATATCCATTCCTGACAAATATCTACCAAACGCTTGTTATTGTATTGATACCTTTGACCAAAATCCAATCGAAACAAATACTAATTTTTTGTATATGATTCCAATTACAATTCCGATTCCTAAACTTGAACCCAGCGGCTCCTAAGTATTTGTACTGAGAATTTCTTGGTCATTTTGGAATATGTTGACTGCACTTTATTTTGCAGTTGCAGTTGCATGTTTATACCTTACAATTGTTCATTTGAATTGATTTTCATTGATTAATCTGTTGCATGTTTCAACTTTACCATCTGTTCAGTGAAAGTGGTGAAATGTGTGCAATGAAGGAGGTCACATTGTTCTCAGATGATGCAAAGTCCAAGGAAAGTGCAAAGCAATTGGGACAAGTAAGTTCATATGCTGGTATAGATGTGGAAAGATAAATTCTGTATTAAACATGCTTGAGATCTGTTGCATTGTGTTTATCTGGTATATATGTCTAACATTGATTCTTCTTCAATCTTTTGGAAAAAATGCAGGAGATTATTATGCTGAGCCGTCTGAGGCATTCAAATATTGTACAGTATTATGGGTCTGAAACGGTCAGTGCTGTTCCTGCAGTTTCTTGTTGACACCTGATGCATACAACTTTATAAATTCTTTTACACGTCTCCATTGGTCACAATGTAATCTGATTGTAACAATGTCGAATGGTTAATTCTTCTCAGAAGTATGTGATATTTAGGATTTTCATCTGATAAATTTGTCAATAGCTTTGAAGTTGTAATGTTATAAATGACGAATTAGTTCTGACTTGGTGCTTTGTGTATCCTCTGGCAGTATTTAGTCTATCATGAAGTCAAATTTACAGCTTCTTTTTCCTTGACCAGGTTGGTGATAAGCTATATATATATTTGGAATATGTATCTGGTGGTTCCATCTTCAAGCTTTTACAAGAATATGGACAATTTGGAGAATCAGCTATACGCAGTTACACACAACAAATTTTGTCTGGTCTTGCATATTTACATACAAAAAATACTGTCCACAGGTAAGAGTTATTGACTTCATTTGTATCAGATTCTGAAATAGCAAGTCTGAATGGCCTGATCCTTTAGTTAATGCTGCTGCATTTGATTGGCAGAGATATTAAAGGGGCAAATATCCTTGTGGACCCGAATGGTCGTGTTAAGTTGGCAGACTTTGGTATGGCAAAGCATGTAAGTCTAGCCATGAGTGCTCTTTCATTTTTATGAGATCTATTAAAAAGCACTTGAGCCTAAAGCATGACACGCTACTAGAAAATGCCAGCTATGGTGAATATAGTATTGTTTTTTTTTCATTTCTGCATACAAAGAAGAAGATTGGTACCATGGTTCACATTTCAAGCTACAAGCATAGTAGTTAAGAACGACAAAAGTGCAATGAGGTGCAAGTCTTGCAAATATTTTTTTTAAAAGCAGAGCCAGGGCGGATAATGAAGTATGGCCAAAGCGTAAAATGCGCAAGCTGCAACAAGATTGCAATCATCTTGCTTCCTGCCCTTCTCCCCACTTCCCTCCCCCTAACGCTCTCAATTCTCATGTTTCTCTGGAACCTTGGTCCTCCTCTAGTTCTTGCATCTTCCCTTTTCTTGGCCAGATCGCTGTATTAATTGAGATTATTTTTTCCCCTCTGGTTAGTTTTTTCCTTGATAAAATGAAATTGATGAATCGGATTTTCTGTTTGCTGAATCTTCATCAATTCATTATTTATTTGGGAAACCTGCCATTCAGTTAAAGCTATAATTAGCCATGGGTGAGAGAGTAATCTGTTGCAAAGCATGGACACACTTGAGAAAACTGATACTCAAATTCAAAATTTTACCTCCGTATGTTGTATGCTGAAGCTGAAATTTTTTTTTTTTTAATAACTAAGAATATTATGACACACCTTAGTGTGCTTTGTGCCTTTAACTACATTTCCCTCTCATTATTTTAATTCTGCAATTGAAGACTTTGATAATCAATTTATTTGGTAGCTGTAATTAACTACAGCCCTTTAAAAATCTTCCACTGTGCAGATTACAGGGCAATCATGTCCATTATCTTTTAAGGGAAGCCCATACTGGATGGCACCTGAGGTCAGTAGTCAGTAGTTTCTCATGTTGCATCTTAAGCTCATGATCATGGCTCCATTGCTAGTTCTCCGATCCTAAATTTTCTATTCTGCTGCTCATTCAGGTTATAAAAAATTCGAATGGTTGTAATCTTGCTGTTGACATCTGGAGTCTTGGATGTACAGTCTTGGAAATGGCTACTGCTAAGCCACCTTGGAGCCAGTATGAAGGGGTCAGTAATTTGGTTACTCATATTGCTGAATAGATGATGTATATCTTCCATAAATACGAATGCTATCATGAAAAAGAGCATATCTAGTATATACGAAGGTTTAGCATGCTTTAAACTTGAAAATCCAGTTCAGCTTTTGTGCATCTTTTTATGGATGTTTTTCTCATTCTGGTTTAAAGGTTGCTGCCATGTTCAAAATTGGGAATAGTAAAGAACTTCCTGCAATTCCTGATGACCTCTCAGAGGAAGGAAAGGACTTTGTGAGGCAGTGTTTGCAGCGGAATCCACTTCATCGTCCTACAGCTGCTCAGCTTTTGGATCACCCATTTGTGAAAAATGCTGCTCCTTTGGATAAACCTCTTGCATCTACTGATCCAACATCTGTGATTGCCAATGGTGTAAAGTCTCCGGTAGTATTTTTATTATCCTAGTCCCCTTAGTTATACAAGTTTATGTAAATGCTCTACTTTTTTGCCATCTGTAACAGTTTCGTGCTTTCTCTGTGGCTAATTATCATCTTCAGGGGATTGAACATGGTAGAAATCTCCCAACATCAGAATCAGAAAGGCTTGCTATACACTCTTCCAGAGTATCAAAATCCTATTTCCATTCCAGGTCCATCCTTGTCCATCATCTTCCCCCCCCCCCCCCCCGCCCCTCCACCACCACCACCACCAAAAAAAAAAAAACTAAAAACTAAAAAAAGCTAAAACATAGAAGTTAATAGTAGTTTTTTTAGGAATAACTACAATAGGTTCAATCTTACGCGGCTTTATCTGTAGCTTTAGCTGATGGAAATAGGTTAATGGTAAATAGTAGTTTTTTAGGAATAACTGCAATAGGTTCAATCTTACGTGGCTTTTATCTGTAGCTTTCACTGATGGAAATTTTCATTTCCAGTGACATCCACATCCAAAGGAATATATCTTGCCCAGTCTCTCCAATTGGAAGCCCTCTGTTACATCCAAGGTCACCTCCACACCTAAATGGGAGGATGTCTCCTTCACCTATATCAAGCCCTCGGACCACATCGGGCTCATCAACACCACTATCAGGGGGTGCTGGTGCTCTCCCTTTTCAACATCTTAATCAGTCAACGTACCTGCAAGAAGGTTTTGGAAGTGTTCCTAAGACTCCACAAAGTCCCTACATCAATGGCCCCTTGTATTGGGATTCTGATATGTTTCGGGGAATGCAGGCTGGATCTGCTTTTCGGGATCTTACATCTAGTGAAAATGATGCTCTGTCAAAGCAGTTTGGAAGGCCTGTTTTTGGAGAACTTCATGATGGACAGTCAGTATTAGCAGATCGTGTGTCTCAGCAGTTGTTAGGGGATCCAGTGAAATTGAATCCATCTTTGGATCTTAACTCACGATCCCGGTTGACCGGCCGCACAAATGGAGTATAACTTGATTTTCTTTTCGAGGCATTTCTCTTCGGGATGCTTACCCAACTGTCACTAAGTTCAGAGAATTGCTTACAGTTCGCAAGGACATTTGAATTGGCATAATAAGGACCTTTGACCACAAAATAAGGCGACATCTTCAGAAGATCTGGTGGCTTGACGAGGAATCAATTTTGCTTGACTGAAAGCTTGTCCTTCGTCCATAAAATAGCTCAGCGGAAAACAGAAATGACCTGAACAACATGCACTTTTAGAATTGACCCTCTATCCCAGCAAAAGGAAGATTCACTGTGGCTAATGGTACCACTTTACCTTGGATCGGCCTGTACAAAGTTGAGTGCTTATAATTTACACACTTCATTGACTAAGGTCTGATTGATAGGGTGATTGCTCAGCGAACTTGGATTGGGTGATTCAATGTATAGCTAGCTGATCCTTCGCTATAAAATTTGTGGTAGCAGAATTGTACATTCATTAACGAGATAGAAGAGAAGAAATGGTAAGCCTGGACAAGAAGTAGCTCTAGGACTGCATTTTTCTTGAGGATCTGCAACTGCTGTACATAATATGGGAAAACCCAGACTTTTGTTCGGATTTTGCCATTGAAACAGTCAAGATTGCAGCAAATCTTTTCTCATGTGTCCGCAAGGCCAACACGCATTTAGGCGCTGGCATGTGGTTCTATTTATGTATATCCAAGACAACATCTGCTAAAAAATTTGAGTAGTTCCTGATGAGAAGCTAATTTATACGTGCCTTCAGCTTTCCCTGTGTTTACAAACTGAAACATTGTAGTGTCTCCTGTTTTAAAGGGTGTTTAACAAAGGCTCTCTCTTTTGTGCGTTTTCTGTCTGACCCTTTCGGCAGTGGTGCTTCATAACCGCTCTAATATGTATATTGCCGCCTAAGAAGAGAAAAACAGTTCTAATAACCAGCTCTAATATGCAGCTCTAACATGCAGAGGGCCTCGACCCGAGGCTGTGATCTTAGGAAAGGGGATGAGAGATCTGAAGCAAAGTGATCTATCTACCTAATAATTATAGGATCGGGTCTGTCAGAATCTCTAAAATAAGGGATAATTTCAGAAACCTCTCTGACAATTTCACTCAGCTCCCCCCAATTTTAGAAAATCACACTGACCTCCCTTACTTTTACTGTTTAAGTAATAGTATAGACCCATGAAGTTAGAATTATACTTAAATATGATAAAATACCCTTATGCAATATAATACATCAAAAGAAAGTGAAAAAAAAGGTTTAGCGATCAATTTAACCAAAAAAAAAAATAACAAACACTTTCATCCACATTTGCTATGCTTTCATGATAATTGTAAAGCCAAAACCTCATCAACCTGTTCAAGCAAACTCCAACTTAATCCCCAAATTCTATCAATTTGGGCATAATCAAAATCCCAAACTCTACCCGAATCACTTTCTCTACAAATCGACCATAACCATCACCACCAACTAAAATACTTTCAAAAAGCTTCCCGTCCCAAATTAACACCATATTTTATCTATTGACTAATCTCACATCTCCCAACACCTATTGCTTATCACCTTCCTTAAATAGAAAAGAACCTGACCAATCACTATTGATGCCTATGCCAAGAGCAACCCCGTACTCCAATGGCGTTAGGAATAGAGAAACTAATCTCTGTGACAAACCACCACCAATACTTGTAAATGAAACAAAAATGAAACCAAATGAAGATATTAGATTGTAGTGTGTAACAGATATAATAACATAATCCAGATTCGTCCTTTTTTCTCTTCCAACCATAACCCATTAATTTCATTTTTTCCCTCTATCACAACCATCTTCATCATCTCCATCTAATTTGACCATGAAATTTTCCTTTGCTCCCTCAATTTGTAATTTTGAAAATTTTGATTCTTTAATGTATGCAAATTATAATACGAAAAGAAATAAACAAGAGGAATTAATAGTTAAGTACCACAAAAAGAGAGAAGTAGATAAGAAATAAACACTTTAGATAGGTTTACATGGTGGTTTAGTTGATGGGTGGAAGAGACTATGTGGTTATAACTGTTAAGAGAATATAAGTATTCTTGTAGATAATAAATTAGTAAGGGTATTCTTGTAAATAGTTTATTAGGTTTGTACTCCTATAAATACTAATTGGTCACTCATAATACTGTGACTAAATGTTTTCCTCCCAAAATACCTGTTGTTATGGTATCAGAGCAAAAGTCCTAGGGTTAGGGTTAAACATCTAGCAAGAGTCTTGACGCGATACTGTTCATCACACACTGTTCACCCGGTACTATTCACGCGCACTGTTCATAGCGAATTTTGATTGCTGTTTTGTTTGAAGTGCTATTCGCTATGGTTGAAAGTTTTGCTAACGGGGTTACCATTGATCAAGTTGAATCAAGTTCTTTAGTACATGGGTCCCAGAAAACTGTTACTATATCCGAGGAAGATTATGTTAAATTCTTACAGTACCAAGCTACAAGTCACGCATCTCTTCCCTCTGCTTCATTAGCACAAAAAGGTAATGACTCATGGATTATTGACTCCGGGGCTACTGATCATATGTCAGGTACCTCTAACATTTTTTCTAATTTTCAAGAGTCTACTCCCTTTCCTCATGTTACTTTAGCTGATGGATCTACCACTAAAGTTAAAGGACTAGGCACTGTAGAAATTAATCCATCACTTCCGCTGTCTTCTGTTCTTTACGTACCCAATTTGCCATTTAATCTAATGTCTGTTAGTAAGCTCACTAAATTTCTACAGTGTACAGTTACTTTTTCTCCTGATTCCGTTGTCATTCAGGATTTGAAAACAAAGAGGACGATTGGTGGAGGGCATGAGCATAATGGTCTTTACTTTCTCAACTTCAATGGTCCGATAGCATGTCCTGCTACTGTTTCTCCTCTTGAAATTCACTGTGGTTTAGGTCATCCGTCTTTACAAAATTTGAAAAAGTTGGTTCCTACTTTGAATCAATTATCTTCGTTAGAATGTGAGTCTTGTCAGTTAGGAAAGCATCATCGTGTTTCTTTTGCTCCTAAAGTCAATAAACGGGTTTCTGAACCCTTTATGTTAGTTCATTCTGATGTTTGGGGTCCTAGTCGAGTCACTTCAAAGTTAGGTTTTAAATATTTTGTAGTCTTTGTTGATGATTTTTCCAGAGTTACATGGCTTTATTTAATGAAAGATCGTTCAGAATTATATTCCATTTTTTGTGCATTTGTTACAGAAATAAAGAATCAATTTGGTGTGCCTGTACGCATACTTCGCAGTGATAATGCGAAAGAATATTTTTCCACTCCTTTTAATACCTTTATGACTAAGTCTGGTATTATTCATCAGTCCTCTTGTCCTCACACTCCACAACAGAATGGAGTTGCTGAAAGGAAAATTGGACATTTAATCGAAATTGCTCGAACACTGTTGTTGCACATGAATGTGCCCAAACAATTTTGGAGTGATGCAGTTCTAACTGCATGTTATTTAATTAATCGCATGCCATCTAATATTCTTGAAGGTCAATTACCTCACTCCATTCTTTTTCCTCATGAACCTGTGTTTAAATTGCCTCCTCGTATTTTTGGATGTGTCTGCTTTGTTCATCAGCTTGCTCCCGGGGTGGATAAATTAGATTCTCGTGCTATTAAGTGTATTTTCTTAGGATATGCACGAGCGCAAAAAGGGTATAGATGTTACAGTCCAGTTTTAAATCGATTTTTTACTTGTGCTGATGTTACTTTCTTTGAATCCACTCCGTATTTTATCAAACAAAGTATGTCTTGTGAGTTAGACCAGTGTCCCTCTTTTTCCTCTCCTGTTTTACCAGTCCCTTCCCCTTTATTACCTGAGTTATCTAGTCCACCAGATTCCATAGCTCGATTATCTCGTCCTCATCTTCAAGTTTACTCTCGTCGTTCCATGGTTGAAAAAGTTCCTGATATGCCACGCACTTCACCAATTAATTCTCAATCTTCCAATCCAGGTATGACGCCCTCCTCTGAGTTAGATCTTCCCATTGCTTTACGCAAAGGTAAGAGACATTGTACTTCCCATCCTATTTCTAATTTTGTTTCTTATTCTCGTCTCTCTATGTCATATTCTTCTTTTGTTGCTTCCCTTGATTCTATCTCCATTCCTAAGTCTATTACCTATGCTCTTAATCATCCTGGTTGGAGATTAGCTATGCAAGAAGAGATGTCTGCTTTGGAACAAAATGGTACTTGGGATCTTGTCCCTCGTCCTTCAGGTAAGCCTGTTGTTGGTTGTAAATGGGTGTACACTATAAAAGTGCAGCCTAATGGTTCTATTGATAGATTGAAGGCTCGGCTGGTAGCTAGAGGATTTACTCAGGTGTATGGAGTAGATTACTTAGAAACATTTTCTCCTGTTGCAAAGATTACCTCTGTTCGTCTTCTTATCTCTTTGGCAGCAACTTATAATTGGCCATTGCATCAGTTGGATGTGAAAAATGCATTTCTGCATGGAGATTTGAAAGAAGAGGTATATATGGAACAACCCCCTGGATTTGTTGTTCAGGGGGAGAATCCGCGGTTGGTTTATCGTTTGAAAAAATCCTTATATGGATTGAAACAGTCTCCGAGGGCTTGGTTTGGCCGGTTTAGTAGTGTTGTCATGGAGTTCGGTCTGACAAGATGTGGAGTAGATCACTCTGTATTTTATCGGCATTCTAATGCTGGTAAAATTTTATTAGTTGTTTATGTGGATGACATTGTGATTACAGGTGATGATGTTGTGGGGATCCAGAAACTTAAATCCAATCTGCAGGCAAACTTTCAGACAAAGGATTTAGGTCATCTACAGTATTTTCTGGGTATTGAGGTAGCTCGGTCTAAATATGGGATTTATTTATGTCAAAGAAAATATGTACTCGATATGTTGAGTGAAGTTTGGATGTTAGGTTGCCGACCTGTAGATACCCCTATGGATCCCAATGTGAAATTAGCAAGAGATCAAGGTGCATTACTTGATGATCCTAAGCAAT